TCCGTCCTGCCGTGGGAGCCATGCTCGGGAGGGCGGCAGCTGCCCGGAGCTGCCGGGGTCAACGCGCCATTTCGTGTCGCCGGAGGCTGTAGTATTTGCTCGGGAATCAAATTAATTAGCTGGATGGGCGGTGATTTCTGCTGGCAGCCATTGGTTTCTGGAGAGGCCCAGCCGACTGTGTCGCAGTTGTGTCCCCACCAACCTGCTGGCCTTGGCCTGTCCCTTGCCTGGCTGAGGCTGGCGGCTGGTGATTGCCCAGATCCAGTGACAGGACAAGGGACAGTGGGTGCCAGAAGCCCAGGCAGTTCCATGCCCATGTGAGGAAGAACTTCTTTGGTGTGAGGGTGCCCGAGCCCTGGCACAGGCTGCCCAGGGAGGCTGGGGAGGCTCCTTCTCTTCTCCCAACCCGCCTGGATGCGCCTGGGTGCCCCATGCTCTGGGTGTCCCTGCTGGAGCAGGGGGCTGGACTGGATGATCTCTAGAGGTCCCCTCCAACCTCACCCACTCTGATTCTGTGATCACCCCGTGGGATGGAGGGCAAGGGGAGGAGTTTGCTTTGCATTCGCTTACCCGAAGAAAGGGCTAACGTGCTGGAAGGCGCTTATCCCAGCCCCTCTCCATGGCATTCCCACGGGATGCGCCGGGGGACGGGTGCCAGCGGGCTCCCGCTGCAGAGGGTGCCACTTGCCGAGGCTGCGGGATGACCCCATCCAGAGGACAGGCGGCCCTGGGGTGTCCCCATCCAGGGATGCTGCCATCAGTGTGATGAGTTTGCTGGTCAAACTCCTTCAGCCTATTGGTGCCAGGCAGAGCAGTTGATAGACCCTAAAGCAGAGTGAGCGGTGCCAGGCCCCAGCGCGGAGCCCGTTGCCCCTCGCCTTGGCCGTGTCCCCCGTGGCCGTGTCCCCCGCGGCGCCGGGCGGGCAGCCCTGCACCACCCTGCGCTGCAGCCGCAACCGCAGCGACAGCGACAGCGACAGCCCGTCCGTCCCGCTCAGCGTCACRGCCGCAGTGGGACACGTTCCTCATCGCCAGCAGAGCGTTTTCTTCCCCCCGGGCACCGGAGCAGATCCAGGCTGACGTCTCTTAGGGACATGAGATGCTTCCCGCCGGGACGGCTCCCAAGGAAAACGGGCAGCACGGGCTGGAAAGGGCCTATTTGCCGCAGTTCTTCCGGCATTGGTGCTTTCCCGAGGCTGCGGTTAGCAAAGGGGATCTGAGGGGGTCCCAGCAGCGGCCTCCAGCTCATCTGGGGCCCAAGCGCCGTGCGTCGGTGCTCCCCGGGGGAGCAGAGCACCTGCCAGCTCCGCTCACGCGCTCCCTCCAGCACAGCTGCATTGGAAGGGGAGCTTTGTGCACAAGGAGAAGCAAACGTCCCCAGGCATTTATTTTTATTGTATGTATCATTTTTTAAAGAGAAGAGCCGGGGGAGGCCGGTGCCCTGTGGAGACGCAGCGGTTGTGCGGGGTGTTCRTGCCGGGGTCCCGGTGCATCCTCGCGCCGCGCGGGGCCGCCGGGACGAGCRTCGCCGTGCCTGGTGCCGGGGGGTCCTCGCGGCGCTAGCAGTCGGATACCGGGCGGATGGGGAGGACAGTGTTATTTTTTTCCTTAGACTCTTGACGTGTAAAAGCACCATCTGGATTGCTTTTTTTTTTTTTTTTAATTATCTTTTAGTTTTTTCCTCCGTGTTTTCCCATGCGTTTGGAGGCGCAGTTTGGTTCTCACACTTCAGAGTATAATCTCCAGAGCGCCGCTGACGGGAGCAAAYGGAGAGACGAGGAGGATTTTTCTGCTTTGGAAGGTGTCGTGGGAAAGCAGGTGGAAGCTGGAGATGGGGCAGCAGAAAATCAGCAGAGCTGCTGTGGGCCCGTGGATGCTCTGAAATGCAAAACTTGGGGCCCCTTTTGGCTTCTTTGAGCGGCCCCGCAGTATCCCCTTTTTTGCTGTGCTTGATTTATAGACTAGTGAGAACCCGTTTTCCCACGTGCCTTAACTGTGCCCAGAGCCTCCCAGGTGCATGTGGACTCGAGGAAGGCCCTGAGCTCATCCCTGCTGCCCTTCTCGCCTTGGTTGGGTCTTTGGGGCCTCCTGAGGGTGCCACATTCTCCTTGGCAGGACAGGAGCGGGGCCAGGTCCTCCTCCTCCGCTACCCTTCTCCCAGGAGAGGCTCCTTCCTCGCTCCTCCGGAGGGCATTCCCGCTTCCCGCCCGGCGGAGGGCAGCATGGACATGGCGCTCCTGAACCGTGAGGCCACCTTTGCCTCGTAGCTCCTGCCAGTTCTGGAGCGGCTGCAGCAGCTGCCAGGCTCCAAAAGCAGCAGCAGGAGCCTCTCATGGGGATGCTGGCTGCTCCCATCAGACAGGTGCTTTTCCGGGCCCTTCCTCCCTTTGTTTTTCCTTCTCCCTTTCCTCCTGCCACATGTGCTCTCCACACTGGCCCTCAGCTCCGCGCTCGCCGATCTGTGCGTGCCCAAGGGTGGCTTCGTAGCAGCGTTTTGTTCCCCTCCGTGTCACCATGGACTGCCACAAGCTCTGGAGCGGGTTTGGATCAGGAACAATGCCGGGCAGGTGATCCCTGGCAGGATCCCTGGATCCGAGGCCAACCTGCCCTCCTCTCTTCCTCGCAGGGCTGAGAAGACAGAAGTTTTGAGCGAAGACCTCCTGCAGGTAACRGTGCCGACCTCGGCCCGCCTGAGGCATTTCCATGCGCTGCCCTGCGGGCCCTATCCCAGCATCCCACATCTTCGTACGTGGAAGTGGGGGGATCCGGGGCCTCCTTTCCAGGTCATCAGGGTGGGTTTGCACCCAACGCAATACCCCATCCTTTCAACCCACGCATGTATGTGCCCGTGTATAGGTGTGTATACATATAATAATATGTAATGTATACGTAATAGATCTGCATGCCTATAGGCATGCCCATGGGTGCCGAGCAGGCTCCTGCCCCGAGGTTTTGAGCGAGTCGGGGGCCGGGCCGCGGCGCTCGGGCTCCCGCTGAGGCCGGCTGTGCGCCCGCAGGTGGAGAAGCGCCTGGAGCTGGTGAAGCAGGTCTCGCACAGCACGCACAAGAAGCTGGCCGCGTGTCTGCAGGGGCAGCAGGGCGTCGACGCCGACAAGCGCTCGGTGAGGGCGGCGGGCACGCGGGGCCGCCAATCCCCTGCCGTAGCCGTGGCGGGGAGGAGCGCGGGGACGGCGCTGTCCGCGCTGCCGTATCCCGCTCCATGGCCCGCGCAAGCACAGAGCGGTTGCGATGCGCCCGTAGGCAGCGGCCGCGCGCACGGGTGCGCTCGCTGCACGCACGGCAGGCGCCGGCAGAGCAGCGGGTGCGGGAAGCAGGGCCCGTGGGCGATACCGCCCTGGGCAGRGCACTGCCCGGTGTGAAGCAGGAGCGGGCGAGCGCGTGCGGGGGCCTGAGGGGCGCCACTTGCCTTGCAGAAGAAGCTGCCCCTGACGACGCTGGCGCAGTGCCTGACGGAGGGCTCGGCCGTGCTGGGGGACGACTCGCTGCTGGGGTAAGTGGCGCCCGCTGCAGCGCCGGGGCCCCGCGCGCCCCGCRCCCGCCCGCCCTCACGCCTCTCTGTGCCCGGCAGGAAGATGCTCAAGCTGTGCGGCGAGGCAGAGGACAAGCTGGCCCAGGAGCTCATCCACTTTGAGCTGCAGGTGGAGCGGGACGTCATTGAGCCGCTCTTCTTGCTYGCTGAGGTGGGTGGCATGGCTGGCRTGGGGCGCTTGCAGGTGGCTCGGGCRCCCTGGCATCCCTGACACCTCCGGGTGCTCCCAGGATGTCCAGGGGACCATCCTGCAGGGGTGCAGGAGGGWGACAGGTGGCAGTTCTTTCCTCCTGCCTTCCTGGTGCTCCGTGGTTCATGGGCCACCGCTGCAGCCTGTCGCGCGCTCCCGCCAAGCCCCTCGTGCCTCRCACCCTTTCCCCAGCGTACTGGGCTTCGTTTTGCACTCAAAGGGTCTGTTTTTGCTCTGTGCACAGCGTGGGTTGGCACCTCGTGGGCTGAGAAGTGGGAGAGGACAGAGCTATCTTGGCGTGGGAGCCATATTCCTATTTAAGGAATTATGTGTCCTTATCTGACCTGGTTCTGCCGATGCCAAATTTATAGGTAGTTCAGGCTTAATATATAATATATAACCATTTTTTTAACATGTTGCTTGGCCTCAAAATACCCTGGAACGCGCTGCCTGCACACGCTCTTCCCAAGGAGCAAGGGCTCCCATCTCCTTTAACTCCATGTTGCYGCAGGTGGAAATCCCCAATATCCAAAAGCAGCGGAAGCACCTGGCGAAGCTGGTCCTGGACATGGACTCATCCAGGACGAGGTAGGAGGCCCCAGGCTCCCTTCCCCATCCCGGGAATACTCGGGCGGGGGCAAAGAGCCGGTGGGYGGGAGGCTGATGTGGCCGCCTCATCCGCAGGTGGCAGCAGTCGGCCAAGTCGTCAGGCTTGTCCAGCAACCTGCAGCCGTCGGGGGCCAAAGCGGATGCTCTCAGGGAGGAGATGGAGGAGGCGGCCAACAGAGTGGAGATTTGCAGGGTACTAGGGTGCTCTCTCCCCTCTCGTGGTGCTCGGGCCGGYGGGACCCCAGTGCCGTGGCGGCTGCGGACGGAGCCCATCTGCAGCGCAAGGAACGCTCCCCTTGGCCCCTGCGTGCACCCGGCCCCACTGCCCCAGTGCAGAGTGCGTGTGCAGGCGCACACGTGTGTGGCGGGCAACGTGCCCAGGGCCCCTCTGCAATTCAGAGCAACCCCCCCCAYCTCCTCCCCACCAGCAAATGCGCTGATACCCCCTCAATGCACTGTTGCACTGTGCTGGCTGCGTGCTGGCCATCCGGCCTTGCTGCGCGATGCTCCACGTGCTTTTAAGGAGCCACTTGCACCTCGGGAGCAGAAGAGGGGCCAGGGTTGGGTTTCGATTCGCGGCCCTGGGTGGCTCGTCCTTGCATCGACCAAAATGTTGCCACGAGGCCATCACCGCCTCTCACCCCGGCAGGACCAGCTCTCTGCTGACATGTACAGTTTTGTGGCCAAAGAAATCGACTATGCAAACTACTTCCAAACGGTGAGTGCCCCCCCGGCTCCATCCTGCACTGCCCCAGGCGCCAGCGCAGGCTGTGCCCAACCAGCCCCGCGWTCTGTCACCCACAGCTGATCGAAGTGCAAGCCGAGTATCACCGCAAGTCGCTGGCGCTGCTGCAGAACGTGCTGCCGCAGATCAAGGCCCAGCAGGGTAAGTGGCAAAGTCGGGCTCCAAGGTTGCCCGCAGGATTTGTGTGTCCGAATCCCCCATCTCTGGGAACCCCAGAGCATCTCTGAGCCCAAGGGAAAACCAGGGAGCTCCTGGACAATCGCCTTTGTGGAACAATGCAAGCCATGGAGCAATGCAAGCCTTCGAGTGATGCTTTTCTACTGGGTGCTGCTGCTGCTAAAGCTGGGCAGGAAGCAATCTATTTTTTTTTTTTTKRRGKKKTTTTTTTTTGCTTTTGCTTTTTGAGTCAAAGGACAGGGAAAAATAATTTGCAGATGGCCGCTCTCCTGGAAAGTAAGCGCTGGTCAGACTGCTTGGAGCGTCCCACGTGACGCCTGGAAAAGCCTTCTCTTGGGTGCGATGCCTGCAGAGCACAGCTTTGCCAGCCACACGGGGCAGAAACGTGGGACCGGGCTGTTGCAGTGACATCCAAGCAGAGTTCTGATGATGATTTGTGCATGGAGATGCCTGTGAAGCCAAGCCCTGGGAGCAGGCGGCTGTTCCGCCCCTCCTGTGAAACCTCTCCTGCAAGAGGCTCCCCGCCACCCTAGCAGCTCTGCCACATCTGTCCTCAGGATTTGCAGCCCCTATTTGGAGAATTTGAGGATTTGCAGTTTGTAAATAACCCTCAGAGAGTGTGAAGAAATCCCTGCAATGTGCCCTGTGCAGCCCCTGCAAGAGCTCCCACCGTCCTGGCTTTTCCCTGAAGCTGGACGCACCCTGGGCCCCAGGCGGGCTCCTTTCCTGGCCATTGCTCTCTGTGGGGAGACTTTCAGGGGGTTATTGCAGCAGGCAGTTTGGGGCCAGCGGGTTCCCATGCTGTCTGCGATAGCAGGTACCGAGTAGGTGGTGCATGTGGGGCTGGGTGCTCATGGTGCAGACTGTGGGTGCCGAGAAGTGGGGTGCTTGGGGCGGGAGTACCCGGGAGTGTGGAAGGGGAGAACGGGCACATCCGTGGGGTGCCTGCCCCGTTGCTCTGACTCTGCCCTCCCATCCCAGAGGCTTGGATCGAGAAACCCTCCTTCGGGAAGCCCCTGGAGGAGCACCTGGCCGTGAGCGGGCGGGAGATCGCCTTCCCCGTGGAGGCGTGCGTCACCATGCTGCTCGAGTGCGGCATGCAGGAGGAGGTGAGGCCGGCAGCGGCTGCGAGCCAGGGCTGCCGCGCGCGGTGCCCGGGACACGGCCAGGTGCCGCACGGAGGCTCTGGCCGCCGGGAGCCACTCGGAACAGACCGCGTGTCTCCCGTGCAGGGTCTGTTCCGCGTGGCTCCCTCTGCCTCCAAGCTGAAGAAGCTCAAGGCTGCCCTCGACTGCTGCGTGGTGGACGTGCAGGAGTACTCGGCAGATCCGCATGCCATTGCAGGTAAACGTCTGCGCCGGGGCCGTTCGCTGCCTTGCACCCCTTGCAGGCTTGAAGCGCCGGCCTGGCCCTGCTGGGCTGCTTCCCCGCGACCAGGAAATCCCATCATAAAGCAGCTGGAAAGATTCCAGAGAAACTTGTATAGTGCTGGAAAACCTTGGCAAGCGGAAAGCAAAACCCGCTGCAGGCACTTGTGGATGCTGGCGTGGTGGCAAGAGCAGGACGCGGCGAGGTGCTCCCTGCTGCTGCATCCAAAGCGCCGGGTTCATTTCTTGGCCTAGTGGCACCAGGAGCTTTCAGCAAGAGCCTGAACTCTCCTGCCCAACTGCTTCAAATTTGGAGGGCCAAAATGGGATGAGAAGGAAAGATTTTTCTATCAGTGCCCCTGAGTGGTTTAGTTTTGGCAGTAGAGTGTGCAGAGCTGCCTTGTTGGAGAATGGGAGGTAAATGGTGCACGTGGAAGCACATGCCAGCAGTGGACATGGGGAGGGACGTTGCATCTCTTAATGTCAACGACAATGCGGACGAGCAGCAAAGGCAGCTGCRGAAAAGTCACACTGCTGAGCTGGGGTGGAAATGGGCCCCTTCACACTTACATGCACCAGCAAATGAAAAAGGGCTTCTCTTCCACACCGAATCGCATGAGCCTGAGCCACGGGGAAGCTCGTGCCGCTTTTGGGTGAAGAAGGCAACCATGGGCTGCATCGCAGCCGCCTTGCTGCAGAGGCTGCGACGGCGGGYGCCGAGGAGCCGCAGGAAGGTGTCCGGGTGTTCCGGACGAGCTCTGCAAGGCGCTGCAGCTGGGTGCCTGCTGTGCATGGAGCCGCATGTCCCCTGCTCTGGGCCTTGGCGCTTCCTTGGGCTCCTGGCTGCGCTGGGACCCAAACCTGCCCCTGTGGGAACATTTAGCCACCGCGGAGAGAAATGTCCTGGGAAGGTCTCGGGCAGGAAGGAGTTAATGCTGGTGGAGGTAAAAACGAGAGAGGAGGGAAGAGAAGGACATCGCCCTGCTGGAGGTGAAGGGGTCCCTGCGGATGGCTAGTGCCACGGGCTCTGGGGCAGAGCAAGGGGCTGCTGTGGCTGCTGTGGGGCGAGCGCCCGCGGCGCAGCGCAGAGTGCCACGAGCAGGGAGCCGAGCTGCGAGGTTGAGTGCGCGGCCCGGGGCCCGCGGGCCAGCCCGGCCGGCCCTCGCGAGCCCCGTCTCTCCTGCAGGGGCCCTGAAGTCCTACCTGCGGGAGCTGCCGGAGCCCCTCATGACGTTCGAGCTCTACGACGAGTGGATCCAGGCCTCCAAGTGAGGGGCAGCGCGTGGGCATGAGGGGCGCCAGAGGCCGGGGGGATTGCGCTCATTTTGACACGCAAGGAGTTGGGGTGTTGGGCATCAAATGGATGGGATAAAGCTTGGATGGGGAGAAGGTATCTCCTTCTTGGAAGCAGTCCCAGTACTGTCTGGATGTGTGTTTGTTCACATCCCCATCTCTCTCCTGCCTGATGAGGCCTTGCAGAGCTCATTGCATGCCAGCACTGGGAACAGGGCTGAACTGAGGACTTGCTGGGCCTAGGGCCGAGGTGCCGGTTCCATGGGGCACGGTGGTCCCCAGGGCTCAGGGAAACTCCTGCACCCCCAGCTTTGCCTTGGGCAAAGCCCCCAAATGCCAGTGTTTCCCACTGGATATGAGCGCCTGGAGCGGAGGAGAGGGCCCGGCATCCTTCCATCTCAAACCATCTCATTCCTTTGCAGCCAAAACATTTCCCTCCCGTTGCAACCTTTTCATTTATTTATGTCATTGTATACGCTGGAAAAAGGAATCAACTTGGCAGGGGGAACCAAGCTGTGTGCTCCTCTAAGGGTGCAAAGGAGGGCATCCYCCATAGGATCCCTATGGGACGGGATCCTGGGCATCCCTTCCCAAGCTGGAGCAATGAAAATACTCCTATTTCCAGCAGCCCGAGTGCCTCTGCCAGGTCCTGTCCCTGTGCTGGAGAGCTGGCGCGTGGGAGCGGGTGCCTGCTGCTCTGCTTGGAGGTGCTGGGTCAAGAAGGGCCTGGTCTGGGTTTGGGTTCAAAGCACAAAGAGGCGCATCTTGCCCCGTAGGGATGGGGCGGTCGGAACAGCCCGCGGCAGCTCGGCTCGGAGCTGCGGCGCTAATGCTGTCACCCACTTCCTTCCTAGCATCCAGGAGCAGGACAAGCGGCTGCAGGCCCTCTGGAACGCCTGCGAGAAGCTGCCCAAGGCCAACTACAACAACATCAGGTGAGCGCCCGCGCAGGAGGCGCCCGGGACCACCCAAACGCTGAGGCGGGATTCGCGTCCCCTTGTCCCTGGTGGAGCTGGAAAGCCGGGGGATGCAGCGGGACAGACGCCCCCGGCGCGGGGGCGATGGGGCCTGCGAGAAGCCCGTCATGGTTGCRTCTGACGCTCTCCTTCCAGGTACCTGATCAAATTCCTGGCGCGGCTCACYGAGTACCAGGACACGAACAAAATGACACCGAGTAACGTGGCCATCGTGCTGGGGCCCAACCTGCTGTGGCCGCAGGCAGAAGGGTAACCTGGTGCCGGGGCTGGCGCGGGGCTGGGACGCAGGCGGGCACCAGCGGGCAGGAGCTGCATGTGGTGGCTCCCTGCGGGGTCTGCAGGGAGGGCACAGCCCTCTCGGGTGTCATCGAGCACCCGCAGTGCCTATCACTGCTGCTGGGGCAGCCTTAGGAAGCTGCGTTTTAGCATCAAGTGGCTTTAAAGCCTCTCCACAAACACACCGGGCAGCCCGACATCACCAGAGCTGGGGCTCGGCTTCTTCTAGTGTCCTTCAGGGATGGTCCTCAACCCCAAGGGGAATGGTGCCGAGGCGAGGGCGGCCAGGGCAGGACATTTCACCAGGAACAAGGCCGAGGCAGAGCCTGCACTGAGCCACTGCCTTGCAGGAACATCACGGAGATGATGACGACGGTCTCTCTGCAGATTGTGGGCATTATYGAGCCCCTCATCCAGCATGCCGACTGGTTCTTCCCCGGAGGTAAGGCCGGTGTCCCAAGTCCCATTTGGCCAGTAGCCCTGGCTCCCTGTGGCTCTCCTGAGCGTCCCGGCCCCTGCCATCTCTGTTTTACCAAGTGTCACCTGCACTGGCTCTTTTTCCCAACCAGACATTGAGTTCAACGTGACGGGCAACTACGGCAGCCCCATGCACATCAACCACAATGCCAACTACAGCTCCATGCCCTCCCCGGACATGGACCACGCTGACCGCAAGCAGCACGAGCAGGCCCGGCGGCCGCTCAGCGTGGCCACAGACAACATGATGCTGGAGTTTTACAAAAAGGATGGGTAGGGCCTTTCCTCTCYGGGCTCACGGGGCTTGGGGTTGGGTGGGATGAGGTCACCACCGCATTGGGATCCCCGGGTGTCCTGCAAATGCTGAATCGCACACTGATGCCGTCAAGGTGCCTGTGACCCTGTCCTGCAGAGTTTGCTGATGGTGTTTGCACCCTATGTGTGCACTTACACCATGCTCTTTTGCCTGCTGGCATCGCCTCCACTYCGGGCAACCCTGTCCCCATCCCTGGAAAAGCCCCCTTCCCCTCCAGGCTCCCATCGAGCCCTTGCCCTCACAAGCTCTGGGGCCCATGATTGCTGCTTGCGGTTCTTTTGCGCTAATGCCTCTCCATTTCCATCCATGCAGCCTTAGGAAAATCCAAAGGTACGGTATCTCCTCGCAGGGCTGTGCTGGCGGCAGCCCYATGCGGGCCGGCCGGGGTCCGTCCCAGCCGGCCGCGATCCCGCCAGGCAGCCGGGCAGGCTCCGCGCTCTGCAGGGCGCTGGCTGCCCGGTGGCGYGGGGCGATGGCGCGATGCTCAGGCGGGCCGGGCACTGAGGGCTCCTCTCTGCGTGTGCCTTGCCCGCAGCATGGGCGTCAGGGTGATGGACACCTCGTGGGTGGCCCGCCGTGGCACCTCGGTGACTCGCAAGGCGCCTTCGACGCCGCCCGCCACACAGCCGCCCGCGCCACCRCTCGAGCTGCCCGCGGCGCCCCCGTCGCCCCTTCCTGAGCAGCCCTTCGACAGCCCGGCCATTCCCTCCCCTCCAGCCACGAGCTTCGGCTTCCCGACAGCCACTGAGCGCTCCAGGTAAGTGCGGCGCCGGAGCCGGGCTCYGCTCGCTGCCTGCATGCGCCTGCCTGCTTCCTGCCCGTGCGAATCCAGGGGCAGAAGGAGCCGTGGCGGGAGGCCCTGCGCCCAGCACTGCCTCGTCCATGGCATCCTGGGGCACCTGCAGCCCTTGCGAGGCTCTAGGTCCTGCTTTTAGGCTGYGAGGACCAGGAAAGCACTCAGTGCCAGTCCTGAAGGGGCCAGGAAGGGGCTGCTTGCTCCCGGGCGGCCCTGGGCTGCAGGGTGGTTTTGCCTGCCTGGATTCGCACAGCTTTGCAGATCGGCAGCGCCGTCCCTGCACATGCCCGGGGCGGGAGCGGCGCTGCCGGGCACTGGGGTGGCTGCGGGCGGGTGGTGCGAGGTGCAACCGGATGCAGCGTTACCTGCGTGGACATACCCTCCTCCTCATCCTCCTCCTCCCACTGCCCCCTCCAAGCACCCTGCAGGGCGAGGTGCTGCTGGGACACCCGCAAGGGCTGTCCCTGTCACCCAGAGGGCACACAGGGTGGCTCAGAGGGCTGCTTGGTTGCCACTGTCAGGGCAGAAGGGAGATGCTGCCCGAATCAGCTGGCTTCTGGCACGGGCACCGTCCTGGTGGCCACAGGCACTCGGGCTCTCCCCTGTCCCAGGGGTCACTCCTCCTCTGCTCCCGTCTCTCCTGGTGGGTTCCTCCCTGTGCTCCTGTATTTGCTATTATTTGGTATTATTTGGTTTTATTTGGGTCTGTTYTGTTTCCTCTTGTGGCGTTCTTGGACGCTCCGCAGCCCGGAYGATGTGTCGCCTGCTTGGGCGGATTGCAGCCGCAGCTGCCCGTGCCCCGGGGACGGCCGGGCGCCCCCGTACCCCGGCCCCCGCCGCCCACCCCGCCTGCCCTGCATGGCGCCGCGTGCCGTGCGCCCCGGCGGCCCCCCGCCACCCTACCGTGGCCCGGGCTGCAGCCTCAGCCTGCCCCCGCTGCCCTCCTCGTCCTCCTGCTTCCCCGCGCTGCTGGACACAACGTGCGGCGCTGTGCCRGGCTTCCGCCCCTTCCCCCTGCGTGCTTCCCTCCCTGCACCGCTCACCCCCCCAGCCAACAGCTTCGCCCTCCCTGTGAAGCCCCCGCTGCTCCTAGGCCACCCGGGCCACCCCCGGGGCAGCTGCACGTGCGCCAGGGAGCCAGGAGCCGGGCGCCCTAGGTAAATACCCGCGCGCGGTGCCTGCCCCCGGGGCAGCGCCTGGCCCTGCCGGGGGGACAGGGCGCCTCGCTCGGCCGCTTGCTGCTCGCTGGGCACCGAGGGGTGCRGAGGCTGCTGCCGAGTGCGGGCCGGGGTGGGCGCTGGGGCTGGGCAGCACTGCTTGCGCAGGGCAGGTGTGGGGGCCGCGACGCCGTGCGCGAGCTCAGCGCCGCTTCCTGCCTTGTTCCCCCCACCGTCACCGTCTCTCCTGCAGCACGCTGAAAACCAAGGAGCTTTCCCCCGTGTCCGGGCAGCAGAAGGGCAGCGCGGCGGCCAGCCCCGACGTGCAGCCAGCCCCGGAGCAGAGCCCGCTCGCGCTGCGCAAAGGTGGGTGCCGCGGAGGCCGCCCGCGTCCCGCAGCCCCAGCCTCCCTGACGCGCCTCTCTCCGCAGTGTCTAAGAAGCTGGCGCCCATCTCAGCCAAGGTGCCCTTCGGGCAGGCGGGCGGCGTGCCGGAGCCGTCGGCAGGCCAGCCGTCCCCCGTGAGCCTGTCTCCCACCCCGCCGAGCACCCCTTCGCCCTATGGACTCGCTTACCCTCAAGGCTACTGCCTGGCCGCAGGTCAGCTGTCCCCAGCCGCCGCACCTTCCCTGCCTTCTCCTCCTCCTCCTTCCCTGCCGAGCACCTTAACCAAATCTCGACCCACCCCCAAGCCGCGGCAGAGGCCCACGCTGCCACCGCCACAGCCTCCCACGGCCGCCTCGTCCGCCTCTAGCCCGCAGCCCGCGGAGCACGGCCCGCTCGACGCCGCGGCCCCCGGGGAGAGCCTGTCCACAGGTAACGGGCGGCCGCCGCGCGGGGAGCCCGCCCGCCGCCACGGGGAGGGAGAGGGCGGCCGCGCGCGGCGCCCAGGGCCATGGGGAGGGGACACAGCCGCAGGGCAGGGGCCACCGCAGCGCCCTGGGGAGCCGCCCTCGGCTTCCTGCCGTCCTGCCCCGGCCTTGGGAAGCTCCTCCGTGGAGCGGGGGCTCTGGAGCTGCAGCCCAGGCTTCCACCTGGGCCCTGCTCACCATGCAGCCCACCACAATGGGGGAGCCCCCATGGAGCCCCCTAGGCACACAGGGTGCCTTGGCCACCTTGCAGCCCCCACAGGGTGTATTCACCACCTTTGTCATGTTGCTTACGTTTTTTCTCCCCTTTTCTTCCTCCCCGCGCCGTGGTTGTGTCCCTGCAGCGGTGTGATGAGGCGGTATTGGATAGGTGTGAGGGGGATGAGCAGGGTAAGCCCACAGCTCCCGGCTACCCCATGCCCCATCACCGTGGCACCGCGCGCCCGTGCTGACGCCCACGCCGGCCCCTCGCATGGGCGCTCCGCAGCGGGGCTGCATGGCTTCGCCGCGCTGGCCTCCGCCCCTGTCGCTGCCTTGGCCATCAGCTCCTGCCTTCTGGCTCCTTGGGCCTGCAGCACCCAAGAGGCAGAGAGGTCCCCCCTGTTGCCGTTCTTGCCTCCTGGTGGCTGATGCTGCGACTCTCTTGCTGCCCCGCTGGTCCCAGCTCGGGCCTGCTGCCCTCCATGAAAACGTCCCCTGGTTTGGCGTGTTTTCRGAAGGGATGTCATGATACCGCCGCCCCACAACACGTGGCACAGGGGAGCATCCTCCTCCTGCACCGCTGCGTTCAAGTCGAGGGCAGAGCRCTGTTGGCCGCCTAGAGGTCCCCAAGGCAGCACAGTGGTGCCCAGGGTTTGCAGGGGAGCATCCGCTCACACTCTACCTGGCGCTGAGGACTTTCATCCTAGTCCTGCCAGCAAGGACGGTCAGGGAGGGTCGTGGTGGCAGGGAGCTGCTGGCCTGGCCTGGCCTTGGCCTAGAGCCTGTGACAAGCAGGAATGACCCTTGTTGGGCCACCCTGTCTTGGACGCTGCCTGGCGTGGTGTCCCGGTGCCCCCGCTGAAGGGACCTGCCCCCTCGCCCCGTGGAGGATGGAGGTGACCCGTGTGGCCTGGGCCACCCGTTTGCAGGCACTGCCGCTTCCAGGGCTCCAGGCAGGGGCTGCAGGGCTGCCGAGCGCCTAGCGGGGAATCGGGGCACACGGGTCCGGCAGTGGCGAGGGAGGCCCCGTGGCCGCCCCCGTCCCCCTCTCGCTGTGGTGAGCACAGTGACAGCCGCCGCAGGCGGAGCCGGTGCCGGGGCTGCGGCCGGCGCGACGAGGCGGGCGGGCGCCCACGGGCCAGTATGATGACATCCCTGTCCCTGGCACTAGGCTGCTGCCGCACCGGAAAGCTGCGCCTCCCCCGGCTCCTTCTCCCTGCCCCGCCATACACAAACCAACCCCACGTCCCGCTGTGGGCAGCCCCTGACTCTGCCCTTCTGTGCCCRCCCGCAGGTCTGATCCATTTTGATATCCCTTCCATCCACGTAGAGATTGATGCCGCGCTGCGCCGGGACCCGCTGGAGCCACCGCAGAGACTTTCGAGAGCAGGGAAGGTCGACTCGCAGGAGGAGGAGGAATCGGAAAGCACAGCCCTATGACACGGTGTCCTTGTCCCATCCCGGCGGGGCCGCCAGGGCCAGGCAGGGCCGCGCCGCAGCCCCTGCCGCACCGGCCGCCGCTCCCTGCAGTCTTTATGGTTTCTTTGGTTTCGCCTTATCCAGACTTTGCCTTTTTGACTTGGTGCCTCGTTACCCGCCTCCCCGCTCGCGCCCCCGCCGCTTCCCGCCCTCCTGGGCCCTACAGCGTGCCCAGCTGTGGGCCGTGCCCCGCGTTCCCTGCGGGCCAGGCCAAGGCACCGCAGCGCTGCTGCAGGCTGCACCGCAGGGCCCTTTGCCACCCGCGTGCTCCTCCGGGCTTCCAGAGTCCAGCGTGTCCCACCCCATCTGTTAAACCAGGCGCTATAGGGTGGCCCCGGGGGCCGCACTGCCCTGCGTGGGGCACGGAAGGCAGCGCCCTTGTGCAAATGTCTCACCAGAGCGTCGCTTTGGGCTTCTCCTCTGTCCTTGCTTGTCCTTGCCCTTCCTGTGCTTGGGCACTCGCGGGTCTTGCCGAGCAGGGCCGTGGTTGGGGGCGGGACTGGATGTGCCCGGCGCCATTGTGCCGCCGCGGCCAGCACAGCTTGGGTCTGAGTAGCAATAACACGTGTGCGCGCGGCCCGGGCCGGGCCCGGGCCCAGGCCCAGGCAGCAGCCGGGCCCGCGGGACCCGCCGACGTGACGGCCAAGCCCGGGCACCTGCAGGCCAGGGCGCCAGGGCCGCGGCGCCTCCCGGCACCGCCCCGCATCCTGTGTGCCCCCGGGGGCTTCGGCTGTGCATGCAGAGACAACATAACCTTTTATCCTTTTCAGAGAGATGAGATTATATATATATATATCTGGCAGCGTAGATATATATATATTATATATTTGTATATATAAAAGAATATATATATATATTTGTTTTATTTGAGCCATTCCATCGGATCTGGTGTACAAATGTACAATGTAAATTGAAGTGCTTAGCGTTCCCGGCCCCGCACCCAGCCTGCGTGTGTTACAGAGCCAGGAAACCCTCTCTCCCCACAGTACTTGCGAGTTAGGACCTTAGAGCTTCTGCACAGGTCGTGATGTGACTCATCACCCAACTTGTATCAGGGGAGGGCGGGCAAGGGGGAGGGCAGAATCACCTGAAATAAATGTGCAAATTGCTGTCAAAATCACCACAAACAGTGAGTTTATTCAATGTGAGTGCTTTGGATGGATCTGGGTGACGAAATGGGCTGTTCGCTCTGACCAGGCTGCACTGATCCCAGCGAGCTGCCGCGAAAGCCACCGCTCAGGGATGTCCCAGCCTCTGCTGCTCCCCACGGTGTCCCTGCGGCATCCCCGCATCCCCGCGTGATGCTGGGACCTCCTGTCAYTGATGCACCCCTGCACCCCGCAGGTGCCCGCTGCCCCACAGGAGGGCAGGATCYGGGGCAGCCCCACGGGCGCCTTGGGGCCCAGCCCCTGGCCCACTGCTCACGTCTGCCCAGGGCAGCTTTGCAGCTGCTCACCGGCCCGCTGGAGTGCGAGGGTGCCGCGCAACCCCTCCAGCACATCAGACATGTCCTGGGGTGCCACCACGGAGGTGGCTCTGGCCAGGGACAGGCAGCGATGGAAAACATRTGCGCACAGCAGAAATGAGGGTTTATTATTTAGCTGGGGACAGGCATGAGGCAGTGACGCCTCGTATGCAGCTCTGCGACGTGGCSGTGCCAGACCCATCCGCCCTCCCCGGACACGCAGCTCCTTGAGCAGCTCCCAAACTTTTCCGGGGGGTGAGGGTCCTGGAACGGCGCAGCGCCCCCTTCCCATGGCCAGGGGCTTGCAATCCCCGGGCCCGTGGCGCCGCCTCCGTGCTGCAGGGCTCGGGAACCCTCCTGGGCGCCAGGTTGCTCGCAGGATCCCCACGGAGCACTCAGGCGGCCGTGCCCATCGGCCACGTCTGCGCCAACGCCGCGGAGGGGAGCACCAAGCGCTCACAGACCGGCCACACGTGGTCTGTGGAGGCAGAGGTGACCAAGGGCAATGTGATGCCAACCACSCCGTCACTGCTGCCACCAGAGCAGCTCCGGAGCAGCCCGGGAGCCGCAGCCCGAGACGCCCAGCAGCCCCCAGCTGGTGACACACCTGGCCAGGAAGTGACATGACCAGCTCACCCTATCCTAGGTGGACAGCAACCTACCAGAGAACCAAGCATCCACCAGGGACAGGGTGCTGCCGGCAAAGGCACCCACAGCACAAAGCGTGTGCTTGGGCCTGCAGAGGCACCAGCCCCGCCAAGTCACCCCCACGTCATGCCAAACTGGGGGCAGAGCTGCAGCCAAGACACTCCATTTGTTTAAGGAGCCCTCCAAGAGATGGGGGCTTTGGAGGTTGGTGGACTCCCCACTCTGGCAAAGATGGGGTAGAAAGCTCCAGCCCTGCGGGAAGGCCCATGCACCCCGCGCGGGCCGGGCCCCCAGTGCAGCACGTGTGTGTGCAACGCACCCGYGCCGAGGTCGGGGTGCAGGGGGCTGTCATAGGCCTGCAGGAACTGCTCGGGGCTCTGCAGCTCGCTGCACGCCAGCAGCTGCGCGATGGCCACCTCCAAGCGCAGCAGCTCGGGCACCTGCTCCAGCTGGAGCTGCGAGGGCCCCTGAAAGTCACAGAGAGACMGGACAGGGATGCGAGTGTTCAGGTCCAGTCACGCAGGTGGTGCCAATTAACACAAGTGGGTGGCATCTCCCAGAGCCCCCAAAGGGAAGCAGTGGGTGCAGCTGTGTGGGAGGCAGCAGCCCGGTCCCTGCGGTGCTGCAGCCCCAGAGCAGCGGCTGCAGCGGGCAGGCTGCCCCCGGCACCACCCTCACCTCGCAGCGCTGCTGGAGGCGGCCCAGGCGCTGCAGCACGCCCAGGCACTCGCCCGCGAGGCCCTCGAGGGGCTCCGCGCCCACGAGCGCTGGGCCCGTTGACACGCTCAGCACCCGGCAGCTCCACTGCGGGAAGAGGCGCGCGGGGATGTTGTGCGACAGCACCAGGATCTTGGCGTCCATGACAAGCGGCCTGTGACAGAGCATGCAGAGCTGAGGACCTGCCCGYCCCCTTCCCCCGGGGCACAGGGACACGTGGAGCGGCCACGTGTGGCCTGGAACAGGCCATGCCCCGGTAGCCCCACACATGGGCTGCTCCRTGGTGCTTCCCGCAGTGCCATTCCCACCCGAGCGCAGGGCCGGGCAGCGTCACCTGCGCTGCCGTGCGTCCCGCAGCTCCCGGAGCACGGCCAACAACACGGAACTGGAGGCCTGCAGGAGGGACAGGGGTTCCCTGGGTCTGTGCAACGGCTGCAGGCCAGGAGATCAGGGGCAACTGCAGTGACGTGGCCCGCACCATGGCCACCGTGTCATGCCCCTCGCCGTGCTGGCCATGAGGTCCCTACCTCGAGTGCGTGGAGCATGCAGGAGGGGTAGAGCAGCAGCAGCCCCGTGATGGCTTCACCGGGGTAGTAGTGCTGCACGCTCTGCAACAGCCGCTCCCAGTGCCCTGTGCAGCAGCACGTCAGCAGGCACCTCGGCCACCCGCAGCCGGGCAGGCAGCGCCGAGGGGCAACRGGATCCCACCTGGCAGCTCCTGCCCGTTCACCAGCGCTGGGGAGCAGCTTGCCACCAGCACCAAGCAGTGCAGAAGGGATTTCTGGCAGGGTGAGACAGGTGGGTGCTGTGGCAGGGGGCATGCAGCCAGGAGGGAGAGGGGGAGCTCAGTGCTGGCCTAGTCCCCCCGCGTCCCCAGCACAGTGCAAGGCCAGTACCCAGCCCAACTGCAGCAGCCCATGGTGGCTGTGGTGCCACCGGGGCGCTCCTACCTGCCCAGCACCGCTGCCCGCCGCCGCGCTCGCCCGCCGCCGCAGCATGCACTGCAGCAGGTTCGCCCGTTCAAGCGGCGGCGCCGGCTCCCTGCGCTGCCCCGGCTCCTCCCGCGCCGCCAGTCGGCCCTTTGCCACGGCGCCTGGTAGAGGAGACGGGCAAGACCCCTTCGCTGGGTTGCGCCCGGCTCCCGCGCCACCCCTGCGCATCCTCGCGCCCGGGCCTGGCTCTGTTTGCGGCTGGAGGAAAGTTGCTCTGGCAACAAGGAGGGCTGGTGTGCAGGGCCGGCCCGCGGGGCAGGGCTGGCTCCGCAGCGCTCGCACGGCTGCACGCTGCCCTGCTCCTTGGCACGCCCTGCGCTCCACCATGCTCCTGCCTTCCCCTTGGCAGCAGCGCGCGGCCCAGGGGGGCTGGGAGGCTCCCCGCCTGCCCAGGGGGGCCCCTGCGCTGCCTCGGGCACCCACGGCCGATGCGAGTGGCGCTCGCAGCCTTCACAGCCTCGCCTGCTCATGCTGGGTGCAGGCTGCGGGACAGGGGCAGCGGCGGGCGAGGGGAGCAGGGCAGCCCTTCCAACACATGACCTTTGCTGCATGGCAGTGCCACAGCCACAGCTGGCACGAAGGGTGGCGCAGGGAGGAGCCGGAACCACTGGAGAAAGAACAGCAGCATAGGGGGTAGTGGAAGTAGCTAGAACACCCCCCTCTGCCCCCACCAGCCCAACCTCCCCTTCACCTTCATCTCCTCCCCTCCACCTCCATCTCGCAGGGACCATGTGCCACAGCACAATGGCATTCACACAGGCCCTCCYTGTGCCCCCGGAGCAGAGCTGGGTTTGAGATGCCACCTGGGTGGCCCCAGGCCCTCGGGCATGGCCCACAGCACCAAGGAAGCAGGCATCAACGAGGCAACGAGCGCCAAGAAGCTCCGAGGAGCTCACTTCCACACTCACCCCCRACACGGAGGGACTTCCACAGGTCTTTAATAGAAAGAGCTGCAAAATGCAGAGGGCCACGGCTCGCAGGCACCCGCGTACAAAAGCTGGGGAGCAGAATCGCTTATTGCATAGACCGTAGTGTGAGGAACGACTCCATGCGCAGCCCCGCCATACCAAAATAGCCGCCTTTTAGAAAACAAAAAGCGTCTCTGGATAAAACTCTCTCCATATATAATAAATACTCTCCCTCCGGMCATCCCTCTCTCCCCTCGGCCCCTAGGAGCCCCCACGCACGCTGTGCTCGGTCCTGATTAAGGCATGGGTTGGCAAAGGAGCACCGGTCTACGTGTCCGCGGGCCTGCTGGCACGGAGCAGCCATGGTGGCACCAAGGCGCCACGCGGACCTATGGTAGCACCTAGCGGGCTATAACAGAGCCCAAGGGCCAGGACAGCACCAGTGGCCAGCGTGATGCTCCTTGGCCGTGCTGGTGCCCAGGAACCATGACAGCAACCATGGGGAAAGGGAAGCACCCCGAGGCCATGACGGCGCCTGAGAACCATCGCGATGCCCCGAGGACACCGGGGACCCTGCCGGCATGTGAGGCCCGCGGTGGCACCCAGGCCCATGAGGGCGCCTCAGAAGCTAGACTCGGGCACGGCCCTGCTGCGGCCCAGTGAGGCGCTGTGGTACCGCGGGCGCGTGGGGAGGCTGCCGAGCGGGCGCCAGGCGGGCGGCCCCTCTGTGCCGGGGCCGAGCGACGCAGAGCGCCGCAGGCAGCGCTCGGACCGCACCGCTCCCGCCCGTGTGCGCTGTGCCCGCTCGCTGCGCCCGGGGGGCAGTACCGCCACAGCCACGGGGGCTCCCGTGGGGCTCTCAGCCACCCTGGGGGCTGCAGGCAGGCGGGGGCGGCGCTCGCCCGCCCCATCCTCCGCGCTGGTGCCCATCATGAGCGGCACGATGGAGGCGTGCGTGAAGCGGGGCCGGCGCCCCGACTCCAGGTAGGCCACGAGCTCGCCCGAGAGGCCGGGCGCGCGCTCCCGTGAGGCGAAGGACCAGCGCAGGGGCGTCGCCGCGGCCCCCGCGCCCACCGCTGCCTTGGCGGGCGACAGCTTCATGCTCACACTGCGGCCCTGGATGCCCCGCACCAGGGGCCGGGCCTCGAAGCCCCCTGCAAAAGAGGGGCAGGGAGGTGGGCGCCTGCAGCGGGGCACCCCGGAAAAGCTGCTGCCCCTGCAGCTGTGGCAGCCCTGCACAGCAGCCCTCCTCCCCACTGCCACTCACCTTTCTCCAGCCCACTGGGCGCATCCGGGCAGCCGGGCGAGCTGGGGGCGCGCGGCAGTGAGGGGTACGTGGCAGAGCCCCGCGGGCCCAAGCTCTCCCGCTGGGCGCTGAGCCGCGACACCCAGTGATCGGACAGGGAGGAGCTGGTGGAGCCTGGGGGGAGCAAGAGGCTGCATGTGTGCAAGCCCCACAGTGCGCAGGTGCATGCCCCTGCATGAGTGTGCACACAGCTGCACGCAAGCACATGCACACGCATGCATGCACACATTCATGCATGTGTACATTCAGCTGCACTCCATGTGCCTGTACGATTGCACAGGCTCTATCATCATGCACATGTGCATGCATGCATTCCTTGGTGCTGTGACTCTGCACGTACAACCATAGCACACATGCATGTGAACACAGAAGCAGGCATGGGGCTGTGCTCCAGGTGCGTGCACACATGCATGACCCCAGGAACGATCTGCGTGCAAGCACATGGGCACTCGGCCCTGCTTTGCATGTGCGGGTGTGGGTGGCCTGGCTGCTCCCTGGGTGCCCTGTCACGCGCAGAGTGGGTGGCAGAGGCTGTGGTGCCTGTGGTGCCCTGGGCCCTGCTCACCTCGCACAGAGCTGCTGGCTGACCAGGCGGGGATGGCGTTCCTGCGCTGGTAGAAGAGGATGTAGGCGCTGCGGGTGCTCACCTCATCCTCCCGCACCCCCTCCACCATGCTGTCATCGTAGCTGTACCACTGCCCGTCCAGCGAGTTGCAGCAATAGGCTGGGGGCAGCGCGTTGCTGGTGGCAGGCTGCACCCTGGCCCTGCACACAGGGTCCCCAGGAGCGGCCGCCTGCGTTGCACTGAACTTGAGCACTGCAGTGCATCCTATGTGCCCTGCTGCGACCCATGGTGCATCCCCCCACAGYACAGCCCAAACCCACGTCGTGACCCAGGGCATCCCCTCACCTGGGACCCCATGGCACATCTCCGAGCACCCTGGGACACCCGCTGGCACGCGGTGCTGCACACTCACCCGTGTAGTGCCCGCCCTGCATGCTGCCATGGTGGTTGCAGACAGCGTACAGGTCGTAGAGGTAGTCGAGCTGGCAGTTCTCGGGTAAGCAGACCGGGGCCTTCCAGGGTGCCCAGGGCGCCAGCACCTGCTTGCCAGGTGCCCGGCCCCTTTGAGCCACATGGGGGCCCATGTCGAGCCCCCGCAGAGGGAAGCGCACCAGCGTGGTGAGTTTGTGGCGGCGCTCGGCCACCTGGCGGAAGCGCTTGAGGTGGATAATGAGGATGTCGGGCAGCGTCCAGAGACTCAGCTTCACCGTGCCCTGCTGCAGCACCTTGCAGTGGGGGCAGCGCCATGCGTCGTCCGGCGCCAGCTGGGCACAGCACACGCCGTGAACATGCAGCTGGGGCCACGTCCACCTCGACGGGGCCCTGAGCCCGCTGCAGCCACGGGGGCGGGTGGGGCACCAGCTCCACCTGGCCCCCGCAGGACGCGCCTGCGGGCGGCCAGCAGCCCGTACCTGCTCCTCCTTGGTGTAGAGCTGGAAGCACTCGTCCAGCGTGCAGCTGTGCTGCTGCTGGTGCGCCTGCTGCTGCAGCAKCACGCTCTCCGCATCCTGCACCACCTCCTCTTGGATGCTGCCGAAGAGGCTGCGGGGCGGCGTGGGGCACAGGGAGGGCGCTCAGGGCAGCTGCCCTGGGCACAGGCAGGCCCTGGTGGAGGTGGGTGTCRAGCACCAGGGACTCACCGCTCTTTGGTGCTGCTGTCCCACTCCACCGTTAGCATCACGTGGGGAGGGCCGCCCGGGCCRCCCAGCTGCAGCGCCCTGCAGGTGTGACAGTGCACGGGGCAGCGCAGGAGCCAGCCTGGCTCACCTGCTGCCTGCCCTCCACCGCGGAGAAAGGCCTGAGCGCAGGCGGGCGCTGGGGCTGAGCTCCTCGCCTCACTGCGAGGCRCCGAGATGCGGCGCAGGGAGCCGCAGGGTGCCCGCGAGCCCCCCGGCCCAGCTGCAGGGGAAGCGGCAGCACATGCACGGGCACTGTCCAAGGGCCAGCTGCAACACCCGGGAACATCCCTGCCGCACCGCTGCAATGCACATGGGTACYGGGAAGGGCCAGCTCTGGCCCTCCTGGAGGCACCAGCCTTCCCTCACCTGTCCACAGCCGGGTGGCAGAGGGGCCGGGCATCCTGCGGTGACAGGTAGCTGCAGCCCACGGAGCTGCCAGCCACGCGGACGCGGAACAGGCCTCCGGCGCCCTGCAGGAGACACAGACGGGGAGGAACGCTCGGGGACTGTGCGGAGAGGCGTCCCAGGACCCTGGGCCCAGCAATGCTGCCAGGGGGAGAGCTGCTCCCCACGCCCCGGGGAGGAGCAGCCTGTGCCGGGAAGCGGGCAGGACCCGGCACCGCAGCGTCCTAGCGCGCTCACTCTGGGGCTGTTCAGACAGGGCAGCCCAGCCCCGGGCAGAGAGGACATGGGTGCGCAGAGAGGACATGGGTGCGCAGAGAGGACATGGGTGCGCAGAGCACCCTGGAGGGCTCCAGATACCCCGGAACAGGGCAGCGCCCTGCGCCACAGCTGCCCCACAGCCCCGACGCCTTGGGCAACCTTCCCCCAGCGCCTGCTGCCATTCCCCGGTGAAAGCACATCACCTGCCGCATCCTGGTTTTCGGCACCCAGCAGCGTGGCGGGAGATGAGGGCAGCGTGCAGCAAACCCTTTACCCGGCCACTTTGTGCCCTCCACCGTGGTGCCCGGCGTGGGATGCTSTTGGAACAGTCCCCAAGAGCTCCTGCCACCCCAGTGGCATTTGGGGAAGGCTGGAAGTGGGGCTGCTTCCTCAAAATACAGTCAAGTTTTTTCCTGCACTGTTCTCCCCTAGAAAAGCCTAAAGTTGGGCTTCTGTCTTGGTTCCCAAGGTGGTCCACAGGGGACCACRGGCTCAGCGAAGCGTCTTCCTGCAGCCCTGGGTTAGGATGTAGTAATCTATCTTCATTTTGTACAGAAATTTAAGTTTGGGTCCCAAGCAGCTTCCGATTATGATTTAATAAGCTATAATKTAATTAAAATGTTAGCCACTTGGAACAAATACAAGGGGAGACTAACATGCACAAAAATTAGTGCTGCATTTAAACTCCTCTTTCCTCCCGGTGGGTTGCTACAACGCTTTAAGAAGTAGATCAGAAGTTCAGAAGCAACTGCAGCCACATTGGAGATTATTGTCTCTGTACAAACAGCAGAACGCTACCTTGCCCGGAGAAGCACAGTCCCCTTCTGCAGGTGCCCAAGCCCAGGTGGAGTCTGCACCACACTGTGGTGCCAAGGCACGTGAAAAGCATCCCCACCGGGTGGATGCAGGGCACGGCCAGGGCCCTGCTGGGCTCTGGCTTGGCAGTGTTCTCCAGCCCAGGCAGGCTTTGTTCCAATGTTTCAAGGCAATTGGGCTGCTTGGGGACCTCCACTGTCCCACAGATGGTGCAGGCAGGTGCTGTGCAGGATGACTTTGCCATAAGGCTTGGGACAGTTATTAGCCCAAGGAGGCACCGTGAAAGTCTGTGCGAGTCGGGCTGTGCCATGGCCACCCACAGCAACACTGTGGTTACCCACAGGTCCACCATGGCCATCCATGGTGATGCTACAGCCATCTGTGGTGGCATCTTGGCCACTGATGGCTAAGCCATGGTCACCCCAGCAACACCACAGACACCTGCGGCTCCACTACAGCATCCATGGCTCTTCCAAGGCCACGCATGGCTAAGCCACAGCCACCTATAGATGCACCATGGCTTCCCATATCCAAGCCATGGCTGCCTGTGGCTAAATCAGAGTTTCTCACGTCTCCATCACCGCCACCTCCAGCTCCACCACAGCCACACAGCTCCATATTGTCCCCCATGGCTGAATGGCGGCCACACTGCAGTGATCCCAAGATTGCATCACTCCACAGCTCAACCACCCATGGCTCCACCATGACCACCTACGGCAACCCTACGGTCAACCCATGCCTACAACATAGCTCCCATATGGTTCAACCATGGCCACCCAATGGCTCCAACTCCCAGGGTGAGAACAATGCCCAGCTGAGCATGAGGCCAAGGGGGGACAGATGAGGGAAACCGCCGTGCCACTGGTGCCACAAGTCTCCATTTTGGCTCAAAGCAGCACTCACCTGCAGCTGGACCTCACTCCTCATCAGGTATTGCATTTTGGCCAGGATGCTCTGCTGGAGCTGCTCCCAGGACACGCCTCGGTCCTCTCGCATCACCAGCGGGGGCCCGAACCTGGGGAGCGGGTGAGAGCGTYACCGAGCGCCAGTGGAGCCACAAGCGTCACTGGTGGCATGCGGCGGGGCCCAGCGCGGTGCACGTACCTGGCGGCCTGGGGGCCGGCACCCGCCGTGTTGCAGAGCAGCAGCAGGACGCGGCCGCCGGCACCGCGGTGCAGGCACTCGGAGGAGAGGGCAGCCGGTGGCAAGCGCTGTCCCGCCGGCTCAGCCGCCTTGGGCGAGGAGGGCAGGCTCAGCGGGCACCCTGCAAAGCCGAGGGCGCCTAGGGAGGCCGGCCAGCCTGGGACGAGCGGGAGCAGCAGGGCCCCGGGCGCAGAATCACCCTCGCATTTCCCGCACGTGGGGCTGGCGGCTAACCGCGCAGCCACGCGCCAAGCTGYGCCCCGCTGTTCCCTGTGCCACCGTTTGCCAGCCAAGGGATTTGTGCCTGGCTCCGGCAGGGCCAGCACTGCCTCCCCCCCCCAGCCCCGCTCCGCAACGACCCCAGCACCGCACGTGCTGCAGCAAGGCTCAGGCGCAGCCCGCGGGCCCGGCCAGTGCAGCGGAGCTGAGCAGGGCCGCAACTCCAGCACATCCCATGCCACACGCAGTGGGAATGGGAGCCGTGTGTGGGCTCAGCCTCCACGGGCCGAGCCGTGGCCGCAGCCTCGGGGAGGTCCCATCCTCAGGTGTCGCAGGGTGTCACGCGGGTCCCCCCAGCCCCTGCTCCCCTCAGTTACAGGGCTACCCAGCCCCTGCCACCAATCACAGCAGAGACACTAGCAGCCTCCAGCCAATCCCAGTGCAGGACACCTGCCTTCTCCAAGCCAAGCAAGCAGAATTAATCTACCAATCACAGAAGAGTATGGCTGGCTCCAACCAATCAGAGCAGAGATGCTATCAGCCTCCAGCCATTCACAGTGCCACACACTTGTCTCTACATAGAATCACAGAATGCCCAAGGTTGGAAGGGACCTCAGAGGCCATCTAGTCCAACCCCGCTGCTCACGCAGGGTCACCTAGAGCACGKGGCACAGGGCTGTGTCCAAGTAGGTTTTGAAGATCTCCAAAGAAGGAGACTCCACAACCTCTCTGGGCTGCCTGTTCCAGGGCTCTGTCGCCCTCACTGTCAAAAAGTGTTTTCTCAAGTTCCTGTGGAACTTTTGGTGCCTCAGCTTGTGGCCGTTTCCTCTAGTCCTGTCGCTGGCCACCACTGAAAAGAGGCCGCCCCCTCCTCCTCACTGGCTCCCTTGAGGTATCTACAGACACTGCTCAGGTCCCCCCTCAGCCTTCTCTTCTCCAGGCTGAACAGGCCCAGCTCCCTCAGCCTTTGCTCATGGGGCAGATGTTCCAGGCCCCTGATCATGGCAGTGCACGTCCCTCCAACCAATCACAGCAGAGACACTATGCATCTCCCACCAATCACAGTGCAGCGCATCTGCTGCRGCCAATCACAGCAGAGCAAGTGACCGACCCCCACCAATGGCAGCGCAGCGCACCCGGCTGTGCCACACGGGAGCGGAGCAGTGCCCGGGGCCGTGTGCCGTGGTGGCACCCGCGGTACCTGCAAGGCGGAGGGCGCCGCCGTGGCTCGAGGGCAGGGGCGGCTGGAAGGCATAGACGCAGTCACCGTCGCCGATGGCGCCGAGATCCTCGTGGTCGGCGAAGGAGCGCCGGAAGCCGGCAGGGGACAGCTCGGCCAGGACGACCTGCGGGCGCCACGCGGGCCCTCAGCGCCAGCCCCAACGCGCGGGACCCGGCCCGGCCGCCGCGGGGCGCCCCAAAGGTGTTCCCACCTGCTCCGGGGGGATCCTGCCCTCCTGCGCCACCATCTCGCGCAGCTTGGCCACAGTGCTGAGGAGGGGCACGGCCAGGCCCACGCGCACGAACCGCTGCCTCTTGCACTGGAACACCAAGGTGACGTTGAGCGGCCTGCAAGAGACGCGGGCGGCGGCGATGTGTGAGCGTGGCACCAACGCGGCCCCGCGCACGGGGCTCCGCGCGGCCGCTGCTCACCTGGTCTGGCGCGGGGGGATCGGCAGCGAGACGCAGAGGAAGGGGTCGAAGGTGTTGCTCTGCTTGCGGCAGTGCGGGCACGTCAGCGAGGACCTGCAAGACAGCGGGGCTGCCACCGCGCGCCCAGAGCCGCCCAGGACCCGGCAAACAGCCCCTGCGAGCCCCAGCAGCACCCTGCACAACGAGCTGTTCACTCTGAAACCTAACGACAACACTTGCCACAGCTGCTTTGCTGCAGCCCAGTGACACCGAGGCACCCCTACAGCCCCACCAGAGGCTTCTTCTCACTCTGGGCAGCCATCACAAACCACAATTTCAGCCCAAATTTCACAGTGAATTAAGTCAGAGCGCTGTTAGGGCTCTTTGCATTATCACACCAACTCCTCAAGCGCTCCACAGCCGCCGTGGGTTGCTGCAGAAGCAGAGGCAGGCGGCAGGGGCAGGAGAAGCCACCAGGAAGGTCCCCATCCCCTCTGAGCGCAGCGAGGGCACGGGCCCCGTGGGCACCTATCACCAGCGCCCCTTGCACCGTGGCCAGCGGTGACCRTGGTCAGGCGGGACGGAGGCGACGCCGAGGAGGCCGTAACGGTGCAGGGGACCCTGCTGCTCCTGCTGCTGGTTCCATCCACCAGCCCAYGTCAGCTTCCCAAAGCCGCGGCAGCGTTTTGCAGCCACGCAAAGAAACGAAGGGTTTTAACAGGAGGGTCAACCTGTTCCTCCGACAGACGCCCTGGCCTATTTTAAGCGGCCGCAGAGCAATTTGGCAGTTTTTTTGGACCGTTGCACGTTGCCCTGACATTTCCAGCTGCTCTTTGCTGCTTGCAGCTCTGCTGCATCGCGGGAAGGGCTGGAGGGCAGAGCAGCGGCGCTGTCCGCCATAACCTTTAGAGCCAAGCAGGGCCCCACTCCGCCCCAGCGTCACCTCGGCGCCTCCCTGGCAGCTCCAGCAGCAAAGCGACCCTTCCTCAGCTTCCCGGAGCCCATCACAGCCCAGCTCCGTTAATATTTAACGCCACCAGCCACCTCACCTCGCTGCTTGGCTTTCATTCCTTTGTGGTTCACCCCCCACCACATCCTTTCTATTCAGCACAAAAAGGAAAATAATTTAAAAAAAAAAATCCAAAGCTCTTTCTGGTTGCAGCCCTGCATATCCATCACCCGCGAGCTCCCAGGGAAGCAGCCGTGCAAATTAATGGAGCTTTTTGCACCCTGGCAAGCTTTGACACACGCAGCAGAGCCGAGCAGAGCGGCTAATGGAAATTAAAGAGCATTTCTCGCTATCTGGCGAGGAATTAGGTGCGTGAGAAGGAAGGACTTGCAATGCCGGGCATGTCCCTCGGTGCCTGCACGGCCGCAACGGGGCATGGAGCAAGGCAAGAGCCTCGTGCAAGGAGCTGCCACGGCCTCAGCGCTGCCACGCGGCCGGGGCTGCTGCWCCTTTTCCCTTCCACCTCTGTGCAGTCCCACAGCGGGTTTCTTTGCCCTGGTAAACCCAAATGGATGGGGAAAATCTAGGGACTTATCCCTGGCGAAGCTGCCCATGCAGGCAGGTGTGGGCGATATGCTCTGGGCCTCCCGGAACAGGAGGTCACCCCTGCAACCACAACTGCTGCCCCCCTGCAGCCCCTCCTGCTCCCTGCACTGAGCAAGGGCGAGGAAGAGGAGGGTCAGGAGGTCAGCACGTCCCCAGTGCCCGCACTCACCTGTACTGCGCCTGGAAGTGGCTCTGCACGAAGCTCTGGCTGCGCGGAGGCCGGACAGGGCCGGGGGTGCCGCTGGCATCGCCRCTCGGGTCCGCGCCGGGCTGCAGAGGCAGTGGCGAGAGCTGAGCTGAGTGGTGGCCAGCAGGTCCCGCGTGCTCGCGGTGGGGACACCTCCAGGCCGGGGGGCCGCGCTGCCGGGGGGGCTGTTCCATGCGTTGCCGGGGCCGCACGCGTGCCATGTGCTGCCTCATGGGACACCCACCCTCTGTCCTCGTCCCCTTCCTCGTCCGACCGCAGCCCGGCGCCCACAGCCCGACCCGGGGCAGCCCATCCAGCACACGCTGGTACCGTCACCTCCAGCCAAGGCAGCCAAGGGATTATGTTTGCCCATCTGGGGGGGCGGCAGGCACTCAGTGCCAGCACAGCAGCACTGAGGGCATCCCCTCTCCGAGGAGACCAGAGGTAAAACAAGACTTTGTTCCACTTGTAAAGGAGCCCAGGCAGGATCCCGCCGTGCGGGGGGACCTTCGGGGCAGCCCCCTCTCCGCTGCTCACTGCGGCTCCTGCTCCACGTGGTGCCGCATGGAAGCAACGCGGGAGCGCATGCTGTGCAAGCGGGAATGGGAGCAGAGGCTGGCGGGCACCGCGCGGGCACTGCCTGCCAACAGCACGGCCAACGTGCGCTGAATCGAGGCATTGTCACCGGCYGTGTGCAGTGCCCACGGGAGCTAACGAGCCTACAGGACAAGGCTGGCAAGCAAGCCCTGCGAAGGGCAGCGGTAAAGCTAAGGAAGCAGCAAGAAAAAAAAAAAAAACTAATGCGTTAAACACCCATGCATCAACCGCGAGGGATTTTTATGCATCCAGCAAGGTGGGTGCACCAGACCTGCCCTTTCCCATTAGTGCCGTTCCCGCGGCCTCAGCACGGGCCGCCTTGCGAGCGGAGCTGGCCCGGCCTGGGCGTCCTGCCCAGCGCGGGCCCCAGCCCTGCCGCGCAGCACCGCTCCGAGGCCGCCCCGCTGCTATTTAAAGCCCATCACCAGCCGGGCGGCCGTATGTCAGGCAGCTCGGCCCAGGCTCCCGGGAGGAAATTATTCAGCCTCGCTGGCTTTAAAGCCTCCCTCCCGCAGATAAACCTCCCGTGCTCAGGATCACACAGATTCACAARCAGTCCATAGTGGCGAAGAGCCTCYGCGAGCAAGCGCGCCCCGAAGCRACCCACAAAATGGGCTTCAGAGCCGTGGAAAAAAMYAGGAATGAGCCCCAGATCTCTKCAGCTTCTTTTACCAGCGAGCGCAGAGCCAGGAGCCATCCTAGCCCCTGCTCCATCCACCCTCCTGGTTGCGCCTCCTCTGCCTGCAGTGGGAGCACAGGCGCGTGGGGAGCTGCTTCTCGCGCTGCCCCCAGGGCAAAAAGCCCATTTCACCCATTTCTGCCTCTTTTTAACGGGCTTTGAAAGCAGACAGGCAGTCACCTGCGGCACCCTGCTGGCCTGGCAAGCTCGGTCTAAAGGAGATGAGCGAGGCTGGGCTCAGCAGGATGCAGAGCCCTGCAGCACTCAGCGCACACGCCGCGAGGGCCACCTACCTGCTCGTCACTGCGGGGCTGCGGGACGGGCGTGGGGGAGCCCAGGTCCTCATGCAGGCGGTCGAGCAGCCAGAGCAGGAACTCGAGGGCGTCGTGCTGCGCGTTGCCGCGGAACTGCGAGCTGTGCTGCGACACGATGCTCTGCAAGGCAACCACGCGGCCTGATGGGCGCGGGCGAAGGCCGGGGAGCCGCGGTGCCCCATGGCCGTCACCGCGTGCCAGGGCTGCCAGCTGCCAGGCTTGGCCCCGTAGGTGCCAGGGAAGGCAGAGAGGAGGGAACAGGTCAACCCCCGGTGAGGTCATGGGGCAAATCCCTCGGGGGACCCAGTAGTGTCACTCACTCCTTGCACTCATATGGCACTGGGAAGGGCTCAGAAATGGCCTTCACGCAGCTGGGAGAGGCAGCTCAGATGAAGCCGCAGCTGGTGTCTTTGCTGCCACCAGCTCTGCTCCCACCTGAACCAGCAGCAGCCCCAGAAACGAAGCCACTGGTGCACGCAGGGTTACGGGTGTGGGGCCTCCTCCTGTGGCTCTTGGCCACCAAGGGCCATCTCCTTGTGGAGGCACCCGCTGTGGCCAGGAGGCAGCCCCTCCTGTAGCAGCCAACTCATCACACGGCACATCCCATCAAGCAGGACGAGCTGCACCCACAGCTCGCCGGGCTGTGCTGCCAAACCCCAGCACCCGCTGCCCCCTCGCCCTGCAGACGCCCGTGTGAGCCCCCCACAGCCGCGGGGGCCAGGGCTCCATATGCCCCACGTTGCTGCAACCCCAGCCCTCGGAGCCCCATCCCTGGGAACAGGGTGTCCCCACCACCTCCTCTCCACTCTGTCCCAGCCCTGAGCCCCGGTCCTCGCACGTCCCCCGGGTCACAGCCAACCCCACTCGGTGTCCAGGCCTGCAAATTGCCTCAGGGCTGCACGAGACCCGGAACACCAGGTGAAGACAGGGATGGGGGACAAGGAAGAGCCCCGCCCGGCTCTGTGCTGGGGGGACCTGCTCCTTGCAGAGAGCCCCAGGGAGCCACCAGGCTGCGAGCCAGCTTCAGCAGGGTTTGGTAGCCCCTGGCCACCTTGCTCATGGGGAGAAAAAGCAAAACACATGGAGCCTCCTACCAGCTCCTACCACTCGGCCAGTGCTGGGAGAAATCCCCCCCATCACCCACCAGGTCCTGCTTCTTTTAAACCAGCTGCTGGAGCAAGCTCRGACCTGCCGCGCTCGGCTCGTAGCCACAACCCCCTCGGCATCGCTGCCTCCTGTCCCTGCCGTGCGTAACGCCTCTGCTGGGAAACCCTGAATCCCCTTGGATGCCCCTTGCCAAACTCGACGGCCCTTCCCCACCAGCTCCGCGAGTGCCTGACATGGTCGGGGGAGCGACAGCTCCAGACCGCCCACGATGGAGAGGAAAACGAGCTGTGGACGGAGCTCAATGGCACATGGGGCTCGACAGCTCCAGCAAATCCACCTCACTCCCCCACATTGCTGCAAGGGGTCTTACTTGGCACAGTTTAAGGAAAAAAAAGGAGGAGGGAACCAAAACAGAGCTAGAAAATCATGCAACATGTGGATAGCCACCTGAGGGAAGGAAATTTGAAGTTAAGGCCAAAAGTTGGTTTTCGTTTTGCTTTTTTATCCTCCTTTCCATGCCAAAGTGCATCTGGGAGCAGAGGGGGTAGCGTGGCAATACCGCACACCCACTCCGCATTGCCCCCCCGCACTGTTCAGGGCAGTGAAGGGTGGGCAGGGTGGGATGCACAAAATCCAGCAACGCAGGCAGCTGTGCTCGCCAAGAGCAGGGCCTGGCACCCTGGGCTGCCRGGCTTTGGCCCGGGCATCAACCTGCCCCGGAGCTGATGCCCCTCCTGTCCAGCCAGCCCCACACTCGTGCACCACATCTGGGGACATTGCAGAGGGATAGGGACCCGTCCCTGGGGGTGGCATCCCCTGGCAGCAGCCCCGTGTCGCTGCATGCGAGCACCGTGGTCACCCGCGCTGGGACACGGGGCGGCAGCGCGGGGCACAGGCGTCACCCTTAGGGCCATAATAAGCAGCGAGGCCAGCGGCAGGTGGCAGCAAGTGCAGAGGGGCTGGGTACAGGTGCGGGGGGCAGCCCGGGGGGCCGCGTCGTACCTTGAACTCCGCCGAGAGCTGCGGGGTGTAGTCGAGGGTCCAGAGCGCGCGGACGAGCGCGGCGAGGCGGTGCGTGACCTCGGCGCGGGCGCCGCGCGCGCGGTAGCGGCCGAGCGCCAGCAGCTCGGCGAGCGGCGCCGTGTTGCTCAGGCACTGCACCACGGCGTTCATGAAGCACGTGTTGCCGTGGTTGCGCAGCCCCTGAGCGCCCGGCGGCCGCCCGGACCCGCTCCCGGACCCGGCTCCGGCCGCGGCGCCGGGCGGC